TTTATATGTGTGTGTGTGTGTGTGTGTGTGTAATAAGGTATTATTTGTTATTAAATAACCTCAAATTCGTATTTAAGTTGTACTTTTCTGACATATGAGTTATAAATTGCGAAAAAATTATAGTATACCTTGAAAATTAATAAAGATGTTCACAAATTAATTTAAAGTGTTTTTATAACAATATAACTTCATAAAACAAGAAAAATCGTCATATCTCGACGAAGAAGCAAAATAGGCCAAAAATACCGATTTTTTACGGGTATCCTAAAGAGGAAATAAAATATCGAGACAAATAGAGCACAAATAGTGGTGTCATTTGATGTGATTACATAACCTCAAATTCGTATTTGTGGTCTATCTTTATGAAATTGGAGTTATAAATTACGAAAAAATTGCAGTATACTTTAAACATTAATGCAGATATGCACGAAAAAATTAAAAGTGTTTTCATGACAACATAACCTCAAAAAATTAGAAAAAACACCATATTTCGAAGGAGAAGCAACATAAGTCGAAAATATCAATTTTCATGGGCTTACTAAAGGGGAAAAACAATCAAAGCGTACAATTCGATTTGATGAAAACATGATTTTCAGCCATTTCAAATACGAAATTTTTTTTACTTGTTCAATGTTATTGAAAGAAATTTACTTATTTAACTCGTAGCAATAACACATATGATTGCTTCTCATATAACTTTCTGTATAAAATGAGTTTAATATTTGATACTTGAAGTTTCACTTTTATCGTGGGTCCCACGACCCATTTTTTACACTGTTGATGTACCACCGGAATAATGTTCATATGTATTGGAGTTTTTTGTAGTCAACTTATCGCTATATGTAACAGAGTTGACTGAAGTAATAGAGAACAAATTTTGTATGGAACAGTAAACCTTTAATAAGATTAATTGTGTAGGTTCAAAGTCAAAAAATCAAATAAAGTTGGATCGTGCAAAAAACTGAAAGTATGGTATCTTGACTTCTATTAATCCTACAGCAGCAAAACACAGGTCTTACAACATGCCACCATTTCAAAAGGTTCGCTTGCTCAAACAATATAAAAATCTTGATAATCTTTTTAACGCCCATATTCCTTAGGTTAAATTAATAGAAGGACAACTTTTGTGTTCAACATTTTGCTCTTAAACCTATACTTATCAAGATTATGACAGGGTTAATTTCTTTTTCGGTCAAAAGCACTAAAACTCGGCTCGATAAAAATTTTGATGTCTACGATTAGTTTTTAATGCCCGCGCACGTGTGTTTATCTTTTCCTTTTTTTTTCTTGTGAGGAAAAACGAGAGTAACATAAAGAAATAAAGTTAGTGAGACAAGCAAAGAAAAGAGCGAGTGTGGAAAGCGAATATAATAAGAAGAAATGTGTATTTAAACGACTCGAGAGAAATTATATTATAACTGTGCTCGTAGGTATATGTGTGAATTTTAGTATGATTCTAAGGTTAGTAAGAATATATGTGTTGTCCATTTATAGAGATAATCGGAATTGTTTATCGTATTTTTACAGTGTCTTTTACAAATCATATCACCCCTTAAGTAAGTATAAGTGTGTGTATTTAGGTACAGCTTAGAAGAGATGAGTCGTGTGTGAGACAGATTGTATGAGAGGAGTAAGAGAAAGAAAGAGATATAGGAGACGTTGTTGAACCTACCTCCATCCACTAGCTCATGACGACCTTTGAGAAGCATCATTTGTGGCGCGGCTAGCAACTCTGCAGTCATGAGAGATTCGAGGGTACTGGCGACACCACGAAGTCATGACTTAAGGATCTACCCCGAAGATGGCTTATCTGGAGGCATAGTAGCGTGTTGCGAACTTAGGTTAGCGACTGGTAGGAAGGTGCAGGAAAAAAACTTCACAGGTTATACCAGAGTTAAGATTTCTCGTAGTTAGGTTACATGTTGCAAACTCTCGTTTTTATACGAGAGTGGGTGAAAGGGTTGACATCAAAAACTTAAACTTAGCGTTTACTGTCGTGAGAACATCTGTCTCTGAATATTCTAAATAAATTTATGGATAAACATAATACTACAATGTAAATGGAATAAAACTAAAAACTGGTACTCGATGTAAGACATCTGGCGTGAATTTGTAATTTATTAACAAATCAAATGTATTAGAATGAACATATAATTAAAATATATTTTTATTCTGCATTATATAACAGTAAATTAAAGATTAAAAACGTATTAAACGCAGTATCTGATTCTGTGGCACTATTTGCTTGGTATAAGAACTCATATGTTAAACGGTAAAATTTACGGGGAAATGGGAGTGTAGTAGGATGCTGTTATTCCTAGCAGATTACAAACTTTCTTATCTCAATAAATACAGGTATTGTAATTCATTTCGCAGTAGACGGTGGTATGGATAAATTTAATTTATACGTATTAAAAGAAATATTACCAGGTTTTAGTTGTATAGCAAAATAATGAAACGCTTGTAATCAAGCTTGAAATTTACTTTAAACATTAACGTCTCCACCGCCAATTATTATAATTTCAATTTTATTAATATGAATCCACAGTAAAATATACTCTACGAGGTGACATACTTTATTGTGTTGTTCATCCTACAATATGTTTGCAGCGTCTATCACGGCAGATCAACTACACATGATTTATGCCTAGTGTCAAAAAATAACGACAATATTAGTTACATTTCACCCCACGAAAGTTTTTTAATCAAATTCGTTCATTGTACCAATTTATAAAACATAAATGAAAAATACCTAGATAGACGTGGAAGAAAAACACTGAAGGCGACTAAAACTCGCCGAAAAAACGTATGGATGTATTTACAGTCCATTGTGAAGAGAAAAATAAAATATAATTTTGCGAAATATTTTAGATAAGAACCCCGCCCTTGCCACTGAGTCAGCAAGCTTTTTTGTCATTGATTTTTACTTGAATGTTTATTTTGTGGTCATACTAATAAATTTACAGATTAAATCAAATTTGCTTCAAATGTTGAACTTATTAAAAAGCTTTTTCCAAAGTGTTTTTAAATTCATTTGACAAATGAACTAACAATCTCCTGGTCAGATGCAAAGCTACTGCTCAAAAAATAGGCTGAACATGAAATTATGTCTAAACTTATTTAAAAAAAAAAAAGAATTTTCCTATTACCTAAGTAAAAATCCAAATGTTTTGAAGTGATTCTTTTTTGACAAATAATTAATTGTCACTGCTTTAGGTTTATAAATTGGTACGCTGTACCAAAGTATCGGTTTTTCAAAAAATCATTGCATTTTTTTATTTCCAATATTTCACAATGCTTTTCTGCTTTATTTATACGCATTATTGTAGTTTCATTAGTGTCCATTTGTGGTGCTGGTGCTCCTCATGACAGTCCAGATAAAAGATGACCACTCTTTAATGATCTGGCCCCTTGATTAAATAGTGATTTTAATACCATCAACAGCATATCCATGTAAAAAATTATCTAAAGTAATCTATCTTTCTTAGAAATTTTTTCACAGTGATGCTATTTTTCAGTTGTTAATTACAATATTTGATCAGCTACAATGCTTTCTCTTTCATTTTTTCCAGGAAATGATTCCAGCTCCTGGACAAAGTCACCCTATCCTCAACTTGCGCCGCTCATTCATTCAGAGTCCAAGTACGCTACCATCCAAACGGTACATGCAGGACGTGCTTTCAGCAATTTTTGACTGGGATAAAAAAGACGTCTACTCATTTCTTATGATGGATGCCCTTACGCCAAGTTTCCCAAAGGCCTCAATACCTATGACCGAAATATGTGACATATTCTGGTCACCTCAAGACCTACTCAACCCTCATGCATGCCTAATTGCCCTGCTTACATCAGGGGGAGGTGTCGAGCTTGCTGTTCAGATCGACCTCAGCTGGTTTTCCATTTGTAATGTCAGTGATGCCTGGGCTGAGGTGATTGAGGCTGACTACGAAGCTGTAGATAATGCTGTTAATTTTAAAGGTCAAACTATAAAAAATCAAGTTTATCGACTTTTTGCAACTACCGCCACTTGGAGTTGCGCGTATAAAACAGATAATGCTTGTTTTGCGTATCTGGTCACTGCACATAGGAATTCAGAGCTGGCAATCTGGAAAGTAAAATCCGTTTTAAGCAGTGAAATCCTAAAGAAAGAACATCCAAGTACAAAGCTGGAGCTTAAATTTAACAAGAAGCTAAGTAATTCTTTTAACAAAATAAGTAGCTTACTTTGGATCCAACTGAGTGAGAAGCAACGCTGCCTAATCATCGTTGGCTTTTTTAGTGGTCTGGTGGGACTAATCAAGCTGCGAAAACTGAATACTGAGATCCAATTCGACTCTTACTCAACTTGTTACTCAGTGGAAGATCTGATTCCTGTTGACTTCCTTCACGTTTTGTGTAAAACGGAAAAGTGGCTTGAATTCATCGTTGTCAAAGGCATGCATATAGTTACACTTGTCATCGACATTTATGGCAGAATCGTCAGCATGAAAAACATCTCTAGTCCAGGATTTTCCATCACAGGTAAGGGGGCTGTACTTATGTTAATACACTTCAAGGTTCATATTTCCACATAGTCATGTGCCAAGATTAGGAAATAATTTTCAAATGTATGAATGGTTTTTCGTATAGGTATATCCATCATTAACTCCGATATGATGTTAATAACAACACAAGATGGTCAATTATGTGAAATCAGAAAATCACACGATCAGCAGGATTTGATCTGCACGCCAATAAAGATTGACATGCCGAACGACTCTTTGCAGTATCTTGGTCTCGCTGGTTCACCTAACAGAGTTCTGTTTACTCTCATTACAAGTCCAAGCATTATGTACGACCATTTAGTAGACCGTGAACCCAGTTCTATTTTCTTTTTTAGTTTAAACGATGTTTCGTCGTCTTTAAACCCCTTGTCAATTGTATATGAAAAAGAGAAGTATTTGCGAAAGTGCTGGGACTGTTTGGAATTGATCAAGGTCAACGTTTACCGGTACGACGAGCGACCGTCTAATCTAGCCAGACTAAGTATAGGTTTGAAATCCATGTCACCGTATGAATTACGCATAGCACATTGGATTATGACCATAGCAGGAGGTAGGTACAAAAAGAATGATTCAGAAGATTTCTCAAGATTTAATGTAGCAATCACGCAATCACGCTCCTACCTTTTTATACACTCCGCATGCAATTATCTTCACCTCCTTATTCAACTAAGTAATCTCACAAACCTGCAAAAGCTATCTGCTAGTCTTCTCCGAATGCATCTTGAAATCTGGTTGGCCGAAGAAGAAGAAGAAGAAGAAAAAGGCGTTAAGGAACTGCTAACGCAACGTGTCAAGAACACTCTTGAATCATTGGAAGATAGACCTGAGCCCGAGAAGTGCAACTTCTGCAATGAAATAATACTTGAACCATGGTTAAAAATCTGTCCTACGGGTCACAAGTTGCTTCGCTGTGCAATTACTTGTCTGCAGGTGACATGTGCTAGATACCGTTCGTGCCTTGTTTGTCATGAAATTTTCCATCCTTGCCTGGACGAGGAAGTGGTTGTGGCTGAAGTCAGATGTCCATATTGTGATCTTCCAGCATGCTTCAAAAACGAAGTTATCGATGAAACACTTAAATCATCCTCAAAAAATTTGTCAAATCAGCTACTGTTGATTTCTAAAGACTTAAAATGTGACAAACATGCTGAAATGACCCAATAATACAAAATCAATATTTTCAAATACGCTAAGATCAAGTCTTTTACTGTAAATCATGAGCCTTACTAATGAAAAATGTTACTATTAACAATTATGCTAAAACTTTGTAAGAAAATAACTACTTGCGACATAAAAGTTGTGACGAGAATTTTCCAGCCGATAAACAGCCATCCTGTATCCTCTCACAAAATCTCTTCTCTTACTTCGCTTATCTTGTTCCTATCCACTGGATACGTTTCCTCTAGGAGGTTTGTCACAAGTGTCTGGCTCGAAAACGCTGAACGCTCCTGAAAGGAAATTAAAAAGGCGAAAGGGGGCACTAACCATAAACACTATCACTTTTATAACCTTTACAGCGCGCCCGCGCTATTTATTTGCCTCCACACACTCTCAAATTCTACACTTCCTCTCTCTGTGTGTATATATATATATATATATATATGTAATAACAGCCGCAACGTTTCTGAAAAAACGAATAAATGAAGATCGACTATTTTATTGACAGTCTATTTATTTAATCAACTTGACATGTATCTTCATCAAGTGACGACCAATACTATCATACATAGGAAAAGAAATTCAATCAACGACCAAGTTATGTTTATCTGATAATTTATTTAATTTAGAAAAGCCGGAAATAGTTGATTGTACAAATAATAGAAGTTATAAAGTTTCAGATTTGTATTTACAATGTTTATACAATTTATAGTTTTTCGTAACTTAACTTACTTCTATGATCGTTGGTAAGCCGCTGCTTGCGCGCATGCAGTCTCAAGATCTGACATGGTTGACCGCAACGATGATCCTAATCCTACACAAGAGTACTCGTGGTGATGACAATAATAAGGCTGCTGCTTTTAACTTCGGAACCCAAATTGACGGTTCTTTCTTTCTTGTTTCTTCTCAATTCACTTTTTAGGCGAGTTTACAGTGGCCTGGTTTGCTCGAGTTTTTCTCACACAGCTTAGTCACCGAACTAAGTCTAACATTTGTTTGAAATGCACTCTTGTAACACGTAGCTCAATAACCGAATTAAGTCTTACATCCGTTTAAAAAATGCAGCAAAATTCACTGTTTAACGCTTATTGTTGCTTTAGAGCACTTAATAAAAGAGAAAAGGTGAATATTGGTATGTGCAAGGAGTCTTTACACTCTTGCATTTGATGAGGACACGTCAGGTTGAGGATCTGAACAACCAATCAGAGCTTAACCTCATTACTCTCGATTGACAGAAGCATGGTAGTAGTGCAATAATTATACAGAGATTGATAGTTACATCTCTGATCTCTCAGATTTTACATCTGAGTATACGTTGATGTCGAAATTTTGTATCGACATAAACCAAGATACGTATCATGGGTTTTTGAGCATTACAATAAATTATTTGCTGCTCTTTTTTTTTTTACTTTAAATTGTTGAAAAGAGTTAATTATAGAACAAAATATTAAATACAAAAGTTGTTTAGATGATAACTTGGCAAAGGAATTAAGTGTTTAAAATAATCCAAAAATTATTCTACATTATTTAAAAAAGTAAAAAAAGCCAAAAACTAAAATTGCGTCTGAATATATATTAAATTAGCTAAAATATGCTGGAAACCAGATATTTCATAAACATAAATGTGGTTAACATTTAACGCAAAGTCTGATCGCAAAATTTCAAAACATCTACTGCAAAACTGTTAATTAAATCCTTCGATTTCTCGTATACTTAGCTAACTGCAATAAATTAAGATCTGCTTTTTTAAAATCTGTAGGTACTAATAATATCTTTGATTCGTCAAACATTCAGATATTTAAATCAACAAACAGAAAAGTTATTTAACAAAAACTGGTAACAGAGCACCGTAATTCCGGAAGTAATTTTTTTTTCTACTTTTGGCATTCGATAGTGCTTATTTTTTAATGGGCTTCAAAAACAATGTTTGTAAGATTAATGAAAGCTAAGATACGACGCTTTTACTTTTTTTATCGTAGTGACTGCCCAAAACATTTCTTTGACTTTGCATCCTTCTTGATCACTTCGTTAATGTTTAGTACACTTGGACCTTTTTCATTTGAATTAGGTTAATAGTTTTAGCTCAATTGATTGATAAAGATAGTAAGACATTATACGCATTTTGGAGTAATTAAGCGTATGATACCAGTAGCATGGCATGCAGACGCAGAAGCTTTATTTGCGAGTTGCTATTCATTCTAACGTGCGTTCATGATTATAACGTAAAGTATAATGTACCTTAAATCATTTTTTTGAAGTGAAACTTCTTATGGCACGTTGTGAATTTTTTCGAGCGACACGAAATTTCTGAGCCCTTCATCACTCCAGCCGCTCTCTCTCTCCGCGTCCTCCTTGCCACCACATGCTATACTAACAAACATCCCTACTACTCCAACTCCAGCCGCTCTCTCTCTCTCTCTCTGCCTCGTCCCCCTTGNTCTTTAAAATCGCATTATCTAACATTGTTCTCATGGGCAAGAGCGATTATTCAGCCTTTTGTTGCACAAATTTTGAGGCAAGAGATGGATTCATAATGAAGAGAAAGTTCGATTGGAGAACTCAACTCTTAAGGAAGACTCTTGTATTGAAAAATATGCACTTATCAGGCATTTGGAAGAAATACATATGCAAACGTAAACAGAGTCACGAGCAGGTCACGTGCTATGTGTATGGGAGAAAACCAACCATCGTCTGCTGCCACCTGGTCTTTCCATAGGCAGCGAGAGATCTTTACCAAATTGTGTCTAGAATTTATTAAACTTAAAATCATAATCTGAAACTTATCACAGCCCTCCTCAAGGCCTTAAACTATAATGTTGTGCAAAATAAGTTTGTTTTTCGAAAATTTATCGAGTCTCTTTCACTTTTTTTTTATTTTTATAATGTAAACAGCGTATTTTTGAGTTTTATACTACACACATACTATCAGAAACTAGCTGCTTTTAAGTTCGTTCCGTAATTTTTTTATAAGTAGTTTAATTAACCATGATGCAGGAGATGGTTTTTTTCATGCACGGTTTGTACAAATCACTTCACCGCGTTGTCATATGAGAGCCCTCGCATACCTGCTCACTGCTCCACACAAAAACAACCGATCCTCTTTAAGGATAATTTGACGCTGATGCACAGCATAAACAAGTAGAAAAATCTATCAATAAAAATGTACTAACCTACAAAAAATCATCTGATTTCTTAATTGTGAGAAAAGCATTTAAATTGAACTTGCCAGAACTACATAGTATATTAACATTAAGTAAAAAGAATTCTAGAATGTATTTAAACTCGTTTATTTTTTTAAATTTGAAGACTAATAGCATAAATACCTTTTAATAGTGATAAAAAAAAATTTAAATCAACATTTGGTCGTTCTTTTATTTGAAATGTTTTATAGATTTCTGAAAAGTGAAGTTGTTTGGATAGCATCAAAGTACATAGTTTCGTGTAGTGCCTCAGAAAGTTTTAAATCATTTTTTTACATAAAATGACTTCTGTAAGGAATTTTCTAAGCAGATGCGTGAAAAAAAAATTGTGAAAATATGTTGCAGTTTTAACCCTTCTTTTTTCAGCGTACAAGTCATTATCCAATTTTAATTATTTTTGGGAAATATTCTTAACTGCAGACAGTATTTAGGGTAAACATTCAATTCGCATTACTAAAGTCCTTATTTATAACCTATCGATTTCTCAGAACGCTATTAGCGCTACATCAAGCATATCAAGTATTTCTGACAAGTTTTTTGTATAGTCCACATTTAAGTACATGTGAGAGATAACATCAAAGTGTTCACGTTGATTTTTTTCTTGTAAGTTTTATGCACCATGATTTTCACTGTAAGGCAAATTATACTCTGATCTTAGAAGTAGCTAAGTTACATACTACAGACATGAGTACCTTAAGTATGTTAATATTGTATCTGATCACACGTCATTCAAAAATTTTTCAGGAACTTGCTAATTACAATCGTACTGAATTTTGGCAAGAGCGTTGTTAATTTGATTATCGCCCTAAAACCTTAATTTTTTGTATTTAAAGCAGTCATTGTTAGTTTAAGCATTAATTCTTGATAATGATGTATCATTTCAAGTCTTACTTCTACTACTAGCTGAATTCAATTTACAGTCTGCAATTGGATTACTCAGACTTATTATGACGTAATAAAAACTCACAATAAGAAGATCTAACCACAACATCCATTTTTTAAAAGCTCCAGATTATGTAACATACTATAACTCATGAAATCTTAATTTAAAAACTGAGCAACCAACAAACATATTAAATAAAAAACAGTATTGCGAAAGCATCCTCAGAGATCACTGTATCTATACTAATTATGTCTTAACCTGTATTAATTAGTAAGAACTCAAGTTAAATTTTTCTATCATTTAAAAGTGTTTATTACAACAGTTTCACAAAACATTACAAAAAAATTTTTTCTTATCTCTGTTTTTCGATACAAAAACATTTTATATTGTAAATACAAACTGAAAAAGTAATTGGTTATAAAAAATTATTAATAAATAAAATCGTTTATAAGTTAAATTTATGGGGTTCTTTAATAATGTTATTAACGTAAGTTCTGATGGTATTCAGGCTTTTTGTCGCAAGAAACGCATGAATTTCTTGTGCTTTACGCACAGCTGCACTAGATGGGATCTTTTTTTGTCTAATTTCGGCTTCAAAAAACTGAATTATTTCCCTCTTTTGCTCATTAGTGTAACGTGGTTTAAAGTTAACCTTCTATGAATCTGTGAATGTTAAATAATCTTATAAATAACAGGAAAGTATTATTCAAGAAAAATTTAAGAGAGTATTATAAAACTTCAAAGACTACAGTTTCTTTACTACTATCTTTATACTGATAACTTAAATCAAAATATTATGTAGTTAATTGATATTTTTTAAATAATTGGATACATACGACATGGTTTCTCTAAAGTCTATTGCCCTTAGGTACGCTGGTACTCGTATTAAATATTGTACTTTCCTGATCTACTATCTTATTAGAAATAATACTATTTACGTATTAACATATTTTTGCTGACAGTCAACGCAGAAAATAAAGTTTTTAAACATTCTGTATCGAGACCTTACATATTTCTTTATATTCTCTTTAACTGAATTCCACCTTTTTATTGATAGAAAATATTATAGTCGTTTACTTAGCCATACGACTAGTTAATAAGACCGTACTTTTGTGACATGTGATATAAGTAAGATTACAAAGATCATTCTAGTCCTCCTA